AGAGGGGAGATAGGATGTTGATGCTATCTCACTTTTTCAGCCAGACTCTTCCTGGATGGCCCTCATAAATCTTCTAGGTGTTTTTGCAGCTCCTAAGCCTGGCCTTTTTGATCTGCAAATGGTTGTAAATGCAAGTTTGAAGTGCCTACGTGAGGCTCACGCTTTGAGCTCATGGCGATATAGGCATCTTTCAGCATAGGGCCATGACAGGGACCCAAAAGAGGTCTTGATATCACAACCAATCAAAACCACTCATCATAACAGCTGTCATAAAAGGATGGAAATTTATTTGTTATTTAATCTATAGTTACTGCATTTTACTGAACTCGTGAGAATTCAGTAGAGGTGCTACGTACCTATCTTATCTTATCATTTTATATGCTGCCTTTCCCCAAAAGTGGGAGTCAAGCTGGCTCGCAGAAAGACATCAATTAAAATCTACATTAAAAAAAACTTTTTTAAAAAGCGGGGGGGGGTTGCCTGCCAGCGAAAGGGAAGTAAGGGGGGAGCCAGCCTAGTATCTCACAGAAGAGAGTTTCAGAGGGTGGGAACAGTCACTGGACGTTATCACACGCGGGGTCTCAAAGGCAAGAAAGCCATACCGGAATAGACCCCGTAGCTTCAGACAAGAAAGCAGCATCATTCCAGTATGGTTCTGGATTGATTCTGGTCGCGGCAAGATGTAATTCCTCAATGAAAGAGGAATTGCAAAGAACGGGGATGATGCCGCAATGCGCCGGGGATGGTACTGGATGGGACGGGGTTTGCTGCGACATCGTGTGAACACACGAAAAAAGGATCTGGAATGGGACGGGGATGCGCTGGGGATGGCACTGGATGGGGTGGGGTTTGCTGCGACGTCGTTTGAACACAGGGGCAAAGGATCCGGAATGGGACGGGGATGGTACGGGGATGGGACTGCTTTAGACCCCGTGTGATAACGTCCACTGAAAAGGCTCTCTCTCTTGTATTATGCACTGAGCATGGGTACGGGATAGCATGGTAATATGACTGGCCTTGGATACTATGCACTTTGATTTGCAAGGGAGGTAGGACTATTTGCTGCTGTGCACCAGGCAGCAAATTCTCTTGTGATGGCCCTGCACATTGCCTAATGGTAAGGCCCACTGTGGTTTTACTCATTGTGAAGAGTCCTTGGTTTGCAAGGATATTCTGTACAAAGAGCCTTATGCATACTACTTTTTACCCACTTCAAGAAAAAAATGTGCCACTTTATGCTAGTGACGAGATTTGTCTCCACACCCTCCTACATTTTATATATTCCTCCTTTCCCACAGAAAACTATGGATGAGCCTGAAAGAAATCCCTACTGCACATGATAGCAGAAGACACGAATCAATAGCAAGGAAGATGAGCTAGATAGATTTGACACTCAATGGAAATCTATTCTGAATTTGCTGCAGAGTTCAGCAAAATGGAAAGGACTTGTGTTAACCTGTTCTTATTAAGTGTGAAATGTGATTTGGTGGAAATGTTATTTGTGCTGCTGTTTGGATTTAACTGGAACTCTGCCTGCTAAAATAGGAAGCTACATATAGCGATTGTTTTTGCTTGGTTTTATTGGTTTATATTTGTGTTTGAATGCTAAGCAGCGTTACTAGAATTGGTGTCTTTACTCATTATGACACTTCACCGAACGCTGGAAAAAATGAAGAGTTTTGCTAAGGTTCAGCGCTAGGCCACTAACTCAGTACCTTCAGATTTCCACTTTCATGAAGATTAATTTGGTGTATATTGCAATCTGACATTTTGAGGGAACACCACAGTTCATATGATAAATGGGTCCATGCCACAAGGGGTTCCCCCATTTATTTTAGAATTTGAAAACCCCAACAGGTCCTAAAACTGGAGCAAATTGAGTAGGCATGGCTTCTGTGGAACATTCATGAGAGAAAATGTGGAACATGCGTTTCACAGATATGAACCTTAAAATCCCCATATTTGGTTTGTTATATGTGTTGAGAAAGGTTGTCCTAAGGCAGGGATGGGAAACTGTGCAGGGGATAGGGGCATTTTTCCTCCCTGTGCCTGCCTGGTGCCCTGCAACAACATATTTTGGTGAAACCAAAGTGGTGCAACATCACTTCCAGCTGCCATTTTTGGTACTTCTGTGTGTGTGTGTGTGTGTGTGTGTGTGTGTGTGTGTTTACAAGTTAAAGGGCATGGTGGAGATTAGGGGAAGGAAACTGCTGCATTTTAAGGCAGTTTATGAAGAATTTGGTTGGTTTGGGGGTAAAAGATTGCCTAAAGATTGTCCCCATTTTTTTTCTTTAAATTTTGGGTGGGGTCTAGGGAATTTGGGGATGTGAGAGGCTTTGAGGGGTTTCCAAGGGCTGCATTTAGGTATTCCAAGGGCCACA